TCCCTCACGGTAACACGCTCAGCCGTGCTCCCTCACGGAGCTCTAACTCGGCCTCGGTCCCGCACGGAGCCCCGGCTCGGCCCCGTTTCCCCACGAAACCCCCGCTCGCCCCGGTCTCTCACGGAGCCCCGGCGTAGCCCCGATCCCTCAATGAGCCCGCGCTCCCCCAGTCTCTCACGGAGCTCCCGGTCCCGGCCCCTGTCCCTCACGGAGCCCTGTCGGCCCCGGCCGTGCCCGTCACCGCCGCCGGGACGGGGCGGGGGCGTCACTTCCCTTTCCTCCTCTATGACCCCGCTCCGCGCCGGCACCGCCATGTTCAGTGCGGGCTGAGGGCGGCCGCCGCCATCTTGAGCGCGGGCAGGTCGCGAAATGGAGCCGGGCAGAGGCCGGGGCAGAGCCCGGGCAGCACCGGGACCATCCCCGGGACCGGGACCGGGACCAGCCCCGGCACCATCCCCGGGACCGGCCCCGGCACCATCCCCGGGATCGGGCCCGGGACCGGCCCCGGCACCATCCCCGGGACCGGGACCGGGCCCGGGACCGGCCCCGGCACCATTCCCCAGCCCTCACCCACCGCACCGCGGTTCGGACGAAATCCGCACGGCGGCAACGCCGCGGGCTCCCAGGAGTTAAAGAGCACCGGTACCGCATGCGTTTGGTACGGGAGCACCAGGAAAAGCGAACCAAAATCAAAATCGGCGACAACAGCATTCTAGAGGACGCGTTGTTTGATGATTAGTAATCCACTGTATTTTAAGATCTTGTAATAATTTGTGGGATGTAAACTTTGTTTTGAAGTCAGCGGTCTTTCACATAAAATAAGGTATTTTGCTCAAGAAGAAACACGGTCCAGGAATCTGACACACAGAGATTTGTTAAGGTTGGAAAATACCCTTAAAATCGAGTCACACATCGAAACTAAGGGTTCAAAAGTCTGAAAAACAAATAATCAAATACAGGTATCTCACAAATACAAAACACTACTAAAACCAATCTCGTGATTTTGCATAGCTTCTGCTTGGAACGCTGTTCCTGAAACAGCTGAACCTTGCAGGTACCAGCGAACAACCAGAATTTTTTATACTTACTGCCTTGGAGAAAAATAATAAATACTGGCACAGTCCTGGTCCCTAGAGTTTATTTGTGCCTCTCCAGAGTGAGAGGAGCCGCTCAGGCTGCAGGGTGACGGATCTGTGGCACTACCAGAGCAGCACAGGTCAGAGCACTCACCTTCCACCTCACACAAATAACCCAAATGTCATCCCTGTCCTGTCCTTGGCATGCTCGGCCATGCCTTCCAGCCCTCCAGATTCCAGGCAGACTTTTTCCTACTACTCAGTAACTTTATTGCTTTAACATGCAGATCACATGGAAGCCAGCAGTGTACTTGTGTTCCCTTTTAAAACAAGACATGCTACTCCTGTACACTTCCATTTACTCACTGAAAGATATTAAAAAGAAAATGCTGACATTAATCCCTCATTTATAAAATCCAACCTAAAATGACCTTAGATACACTTCCTGTTTAGACGCTGCATTTTAGTTTGGAATGATTTGGCTTCACAGCATTCCTGTGGGGGATTGTTTTGATTCCCATTTTAGAGATCAGAAATAACCCAACTCAAAGACAGCCACAGTTACTAATGTCAACAAGCAAGTTTGCTGTGTCACAGGGCTCTCTGCTGGCACAGGACACCACCTTTCCTGCTGAGGACACGATGCTGGTCTACACAAATATACACACTTCTTAAGCCCCTTATTTATTTTGGGTTTTTTTAAATGCCTTTTTTCCACATCTTCTCACTGCCTCCCAGAGCACCTTTCTCTCCAGAGCTCAGCTGTGCCATTCCACCCCTGTGCCATCAGCAGGAGCAGAGTTTTCAGAGAACCAGCATTCCCCCTTTCAGATATATGAGCAAAATTAACTTTCCATGTAGAAAATAACTCATCTTAGTGTTTTGTTAACTGTATTATTGCTACCATTTTAAGCCAGCCAGGGAAGAATGTGTTCAAAATAGGAAATCAGCAATTCTACCACAGATACTGTCATTCTCTATACAAGGGAGTAATAAAATACAGCAAGACACCCTCAGGTTGCCCTTTCAGTGACAAAACACAAGATCTAGTAGTAAATCAGCATTTCAAAATGACAGAAATGGTCTTGCTTCTCACAACAAAATAAACACTAAGTGGTTCATAGACTTTCCAGAAATACTTCTCTGGAAATCAGAACTTCCATTAGTCGATAACATTCAGCCAAGTTTTATCCTTAGCTTTAAAAATCAAATCCAAAGACCCTTGCATGCCTTGAAGCTGATAACACCAAATCTCACTGCTCGAGAAATGTTTGATACATTAATTATCTCTATACAAAGCTTGCATTAGACAATCTTACATTACAAATTTACAATCAATGAAGAAAGAAATGTAAACTCCACCAGTAATTACTATGGGCATTTCCACCATGGTATCTAGCATGATCTGAGTGACCCCACTCTTTGTTTTTTTATCTGTCCAAGTATCCACTCATATAAAGAGCTACAGAATGAACTGTAAAAACTCACTTCTAATGATTACGATGGTAGGATAGTGCTTTGTATAATATAAACAAATGTGAGAAATAATTTGAGAGTCATTAGTAAAAATTTTGTTAGGTACCAGTCTTTTAAGCCCATTTATAGAAATTTAAAATTTATAGAGTTAAAATAACATTTCTCAAGTTACTAGTGGTGGAAAGATAATTATAAATATACAGAATTACTACAATAATATAGATTACTAGAAGTTTTCTCTAGTCAGAGGTTGGTGACATCCATAATTTCAGTGAGAGCTGTATTAGGATTTTATGTAAGAAATTAATTTTGTACATTCTCAGCAGGATCATTGCAAATTCCTTTTGCAATTATTCTTTAGAACTTGATCCAATTCAAACCCAAGCAATGTGTGTCTCCTCAGTGCATTAAAAGAACTGAAGGTAAATAAAGGGAATATCATGTGGGAGTCATGCAGTACATATGTGGAAGAGTGTGTTGTACTCATGTTGGACAGTCCCACAGATGGGACTTAAACACAGAACAAAGTGAACAGTGAGGTCAGAAAGGTATCCCAGGAGAAAAACAGGACAATTGAAAAAGTTTATCAGGAGCATGAGGTGGGAAATGAAGGCTGGTATGTGAATCTGGAGATGTCCATGCCTGGGAACTTCTGGAGCACCCTTATCTTTGGCAGGCCAGTGCTACTGCTAAACACCAGTGCAATGACCTGCTACCACACAGGGTAAAATGAGCTGGATGTGGAACTGAGACCAGTACTGCATTATTGAAACATGGAATTAGATATTTGCTTTGTTTTTGTGCCTTTTTAAACTCAAGAGAACTGGTCTTGTACACTAGACATGAAAAGAGCAGGATGACCACCAGAACTGGTATCACAACATGCAATTACTCCCACTGTCCCTCCCCCCAAAATCTGATCCATCACAGTGTAAATGTGATTATTCCTACTGAAACCCCTAGACAAGGAATTCACAACACCAAGTGCTATACATGCTTTGCTGATATAAAGACGAAAACATTAGAAATGTACAATTGCTGTTAAAATTGTATTTAATATCACATTCCAGTGACTGGAAATTAATTCCAATTCTAACAAATTGATTACGGGGAAAGAAAGCAATCACACCGTCTCATGTATCTGAAGATGACTTAGAAGATCTTTTTCATTCCCAAACCTCATTAAACAATCAGTACATTTATGAGGCAAATCTGCTGAATGCCTGAAATCCAAATGAGTTTTAAGGTCTTCAATCTGTCCTGTTGAATACTCACAGTATTGACACAAATAAATCCCTTCAGATAAATGAGAGCTTAGGTGCTTGCAATATTCCAACATACCTGAAAATCCCTTCCCACAGTCATCACAAACATGAGGGAATATTTTGGTGTGCTCAATAGCTACATGCCTGTTGACATTTGTATGCAGCCTGCTCCTAAAGCCGCACACCTGGCACACAAAGAAGTTTTTGCATTTGTCAAAACTGATTTTGTTGATGAGGCTGTACTGGCCACGCTCCTTGTTGTTGTAGCTGTCGCTCAGCTCGATGAGCCGGCACGCGTGCTCGTTCACCACGTGGCTGTGCAGATCCTCGGGGTCGTTCGTCTCGTGCTCACAGAACTGACACAGGTACTGCTCGTCACAGCTGTGCTCCTGGAAGTGCAGGTACAGCTCGCTGCTGGAGGAGAACTGCACATCACACTGCTCACACCAGTAAAGGTGGTCGTTGAAGTGAGTGTCTGCTATGTGCTGACTCAGATTCTCAAAAATCACCGTTTTGTAATCGCAGTATTTACAGATGTATGGATCCTCCTCGTGTAGTTTTACGTGTTCAATGAGCTGCACCTTGCTGGAGAAACTTTCTTTACAAACTTTACAGACATGAGTGTCTGTACATGTCTTATGCTTCAGGATCATGTGTTGCTTCAGATCAGAGAAGTACTTGCTGTTGAACTCACAGAGCTCACACTTGTACAGACCACTGCTGTTGGCTCTCAGCAAGGGCCATTTCTGTTGAGCTGTGATATTCAAAGCCTGGTTCTTCTCAAAGATTTTACAGGTCTCCAGAGGGATTTCCTCAAGGTCCTCAGCTTCCAGCTTCTCAGGTGACACAGTCTGTGTTTCTATATCATGAACTTCTACTGCATTCACTTCTGTTGTAGAAATTTCTACAGTCTGGATATCTAGAGGTTTCTCTTCTTCTGTGGGGCTGTCACTGAATATAGGTGAGTCACATAAGTCTCTGCACATTCCATTGTTAGCACCTTTATCTGCAGAAGGAAATACATAGTAGAAGGTTGGAAAAAAACCACTACAAAACAGCTGGGCCCATTTTTAACTTTTCAGTCAGCTGCAGCAGCTTTCAAATGCAATGACCAGTTATTTTTTCCCTGCCAGACCATGATGTATTTTCAGCTAACAAAGCAATACCAGAAACTATAAATTCTTCAGCATTTCTGTCAAAGAAAGGAAGTTCTACAAAAAGCCAGCAGCAGCTGGGCTCTCCAACCTCCCAGCACCTCATCTGCAAACACACTGGCCTTTACCTTTATCCTTCTTTTTAGGGTCTGTGCAGTGCATCCCAACATTTGAGTGTGGCCCGCTCCAGTGAGAGCTCCCGGCATGCACCGGACTCCCGTCATCATCCGTGTCCAGGCTCTGCACAGGACTGTGG